GAGACCGTGGGAGGGAGGGGGCTCCTCGTAGAAGATGTAGTGTCTGCAGCCTCCGCCATGGCCTGCCCCTGCATGAGAGGTGTGGAGGTGAGCCGCGCTGCCTGCGTCTCCAGCCTGCCAGTCAGCGTGGCCAAAAGGCTGGTGTCAGTGGTACCTGAGGCATGGGATGTGATGGAGGAGGAAGCTGATGGCTTGGGGCTGGATGCACTCAGAGCTGGACTGTGCGTCACGGCCTCTGCTGTCACTGTGCCTGACCCCAGAGTCGTAACGTTAGGGGTGGAGGAAGGAGTGAAGGATGTGACTGCCATGAATGAGTGAGCTGTGGTGGCTAAGAGGGCTTCCATGGTGCTGCTTCTCTGCGGGCTGAACGTGGCAGCTGAGGAGCCCACAGCAGAGGCGGAGGAGTGTCTCGTCAGTGCCGAGCTGGGTCTAAGGGACAGGGAGGCAGCACTGCCACTCGCTATGGCCACAGTGGTGGCAGTGGTGTTGGTCCTCATCGCTGGGAAGGCTGGTCTCGTCGTCTCACTGCTGGCAGACACCCCGAGAGAGCTCCCTTCTTGAGTTGGGATCGTGGGCACAGTCTGCATCCTGTCTTCTTTGCCCACCGTGCTCGTTGTGGAGAGGGTCAGCAACGACGTGGCAGACGGGGAAGGGGCCATCATGTCATTGGCTTCAGCCATTGTGCCACTGGCTTCAGTTATCGTGCCACTCTCCTGGTTCCTGGTGGGACCTTCTCCTTCACTGGGAGGAGTGGTGCCACGGCTAGCCACAGAGACCGTGGGAGGCAAGGGGCTCCTCGTAGAAGATGTAGTGTCTGCAGCCTCCGCCATGGCCTGCCCCTGCATGAGAGGTGTGGAGGTGAGCCGCGCTGCCTGCGTCTCCAGCCTGCCAGTCAGCGTGGCCAAAAGGCTGGTGTCAGTGGTACCTGAGGCATGGGATGTGATGGAGGAGGAAGCTGATGGCTTGGGGCTGGATGCACTCAGAGCTGGACTGTGCGTCACGGCCTCTGCTGTCACTGTGCCTGACCCCAGAGTCGTAACGCCAGGGGTGGACGAAAGAGTGGAGGACGTGACTGCTGTGGATGAGTGAGCTGTGGTGGCCAAGAGGGCTTCCATGGTGCTGCTTCTCTGCGGGTTGAACGTGGCAGTTGAGGAGCCCACAGCAGAGGCAGAGGAGTGTCTCGTCAGTGCCGAGCTGGGTCCAAGGGACAGGGAGGCAGCACTGCCACTCGCTATGGCCACAGTGGTGGCAGTGGCGTTGGTCCTCATCGCTGGGAAGGCTGGTCTCGTCGTCTCACTGCTGGCAGACACCCCGAGAGAGCTCCCTTCTTGAGTTGGGATCGTGGGCACAGTCTGCATCCTGTCTTCTGCGCCCACCATGCTCGTCGTGGAGGGGGTCACCAAGGACATGGCAGAGGGGGAAGGGGCCAACTTGGCAGAGGTCTCAGCCATTGTGCCACTCTCCCGGTTCCTGGTGTTAGGGGTGGAGGAAGGAGTGAAGGATGTGACTGCCATGAATGAGTGAGCTGTGGTGGCTAAGAGGGCTTCCATGGTGCTGCTTCTCTGCGGGCTGAACGTGGCAGGCGGGGAGCCCACAGCAGAGGGGGGGGGGGGGCTCCGCCGGAGCTGGGTCTAAGGGACAGGGAGGCAGCACTGCCACTCGCTGTGCCCACTGCGGTGGCAGTGGCATTTGGCCTCGTTGCTGGGAAGGCTGATCTCATCATGTCACTGCTGGCAGACACCCCGAGAGAGCTCCCTTCTTGAGTTGGGATCGTGGGCACAGTCTGTATCCTGTCTTCTGCACCCACCGTGCTCGTCGTGGAGAGGGTCAGCAACGATGTTGCTGAAGGGGAGGAGGCTGTCTTGGCGTTCATGTCAATCGTCATGGTATTTGAGGTGTGTTCAGCTGGACTAGTTTTACTGTGTTTCTGTGTACTCATATGCACTGTGTTTGCCTCTAAGGTCTCGTCGTCTGTAAAGTTATTACTTCCGCCAGTGCCATTAGACTCTGTACCACTTTCCACTGTAGAAATATGGGTTGTAGATATTTGCCCTGTAATTATTTGAATTATTTTATTAATGTATCAAGTTCAATTTTTTCTTGTGTGAAGATTTCATTTATTTTTCTGATCTCATATTTTCCTTTCCTTTCTCTATTTCTGTCATTTTCTTTATTTACTTTTACTTATCTGTGATGTGATTTCTATCCTATTTCCTTCTTCATTTACGTAGGCTTAAGGAGCTGTTTACCTGACTGGCTTCTTGATAACATTTTTTTGCTCTGTCAGTTTATAGATTTAAATTACTTTATTACAGGCTTTGCTGTTGTTAATCCACATAGTCTTCAATTTTTTATGTTCTTTCCTTCCTCTGAATATGATTTTTTGTAAACTTAGGGCATGGTTTTGTGGTACACTTGGCAGTGTTAAGTTTGCGGTTGGACTTGATGATCTTAAAGATGTTTTCCAACCTAAATGATTCTATGATCTCTTTAAACTAAAAGGTCCAAAGAAGTAACAAGGAAAATTATTACTGCAGGGAATTAATTTTTTTAATATAATCTTCTCCTCAGCTCTTTGTGTTGATTTTATTATTTCAATTTCTTTATTTTACAAGACATTTATGTCTTTCTTATTTACTGGCTGTCTGGGAGGAGAGACAGCTTTTTCTGTGCATATCTTTATGTTGATGTCCTAAGTCATAAAAATCATGGGAGAAATTGAATTGCTTACTGTGTTTACCTGTATGTCTAACTATGAATAAACTATAACTACTTTAGATAGCAAGGATGAAGATGACGACATTTCTAATGCTCCCAAAATTTCTTTAAAAGGAAAATTAAATCCTTTTTCGTTTGTGATTAAATACTGAGGCTAATTCAGATTCATTTGCTTTACTTGTTCGAGTAATTTAACCTTGATTTTGAGAAGTGGTTTTGTTCCTACTAAAATCACAGACATAGTGTTCTGTCTCATGTCAGTATACTTTCTAGCAACACCTAGTTATTGTTCTGGGTCTTCGGTTTTGGCTATATAAGAATTAAAGGATTCTCAGACAGGGTATATTGGAGTAGCTCTATCAAATTCTGAAGAGCCATGTTAATTAACGTCTTTTGACTCTACTTCCCTATAAAATAAAAGTGTTATTTTCGTGTCATTTGGTGTACATATAAAAGCTTGCAATATAGCAGTACATATTTTGCAGAAATCCTCCTACACACTGACATGTTTTCCATATCCCAATACAGCTTGAATTATAAGACCCTGTGGTTGTATCCCTTGGATTATCAATAGCAAGTACTGATCATTCAAGAAACTTTTACTCATTTGTATTGAATGACATGAAACTAGATGGTAAGAATAAAATAATGCAGCCCTCTGAATCTCTAGAAGTTATTTCAAAAAACTCTTCTCTACAGTGAGAACACAACATAATTAATACATTCTAATCCGTGCTTTCTTTTGAGTCTTTTCCTAAAGAGTGTCTCAAGGGGAAAAAAATGGCAAAATAGATGATTCATTGGTCTCATAACTAAGCTTAAATCTAAAAAAAGACATAAAATCTAGTCAGGCACTGAATGTTTCATCTTTAAACAAGAGTTTTCCAAATACTTTGGTATCATTCTTTTATCTACTTGCAGCTTTATGTCCCTATTAAAATATCTGCTGAAATACTACAGATTTAAGAGAAATCTTAAAAATAATAATTTTAACTGCACATATTACATGTTTTTGGATTTTATACTGATTTTTAGCCATCCAAGCAGCACACACACACACACAGAGATTATGATTAAAAATATATAAATATATACCAATGGTAAATAATCAAATAGATTTTTAACTTACACAGAAAAAAAGAGAAAATCAAATGCCAAAGGTAATTCCAAGTCCCCATATTGAGTTTTCACCTCCTTGCAGTACTCTTTCCATTCGCGAAACTGACATTTTGAATTGAAGACTCCAGCAATTTAAACAGGGGTGAGGCTGCATTTTTACGTCTCAGCCTGAGCTAATCCCTTGCACAAGTGGGATCTCAGCCAATGTAATGAAGTTCTCATGCTTGACCTGTACTATAATAAATCCCAAAGTTTCTGTTGCAGTATGCTTGCTTTTCTTTAACGGAACAAAGTCTGACTGTGATCCAAAAGCTAGTGAGTCAAAACGAAAGACAGACAGAATTCAGTGAGCAGTGCGTCACACCTGGACAACTTTTTGTTCAGGAGATTCAATAAGCAGAATATTTTAACAACCTTAGGCCTGACCAATGCATGACTAACATACAGACTGAGGAACCTTGAGTCCAAGTCTTGCCCTAATCAGGAGACACAACTTTTTTCCTCCAGATTTTCCTGTATTTTTAATTATTTAGGAGAAATTGTTTAGGCATTCAGTTCTAACTTGTATTTTTACTGTATTAGCATGGTAAATTGCTAGAAATGCACCAAACAGACATCAGTCTTTGGTTCTCCAATACTGTAAAGAGTCTGGAGTGGTTGTAAGTCTCTGTTGCTTGATCTCTTTGGACTAGGTGGAAAATATTGGATAGCCATGCCTCTCATTCTTAGCTGAGTTTATCCACATTTTCTTTAGCAGATAAGCTCCTCCTAACTATAGGCAGTTGATATGGACATTCACTGCTGGTCGCCTGCTTTGGGTCACAACTTTACCCCAAGGATACCATACCTGCCTTTCTTCTCTTCAGTGACAAATCATTATAGAAACCCCAGGCCTCTGTGTGCCTGTGGGCTCATCAACGACTTAGACATTTACATCATGTCATATTTTTAATACCCTTATGACTTAGACATTTTCATTATGTCATATTTTTAATACCCTTTCCTGCCTGAGGACTATGCTGGTAAAGGCCTTCACCAAATAATTTTCAGCGAGATGTTTTTTTCAGCCACACTGTGTGCAGAGGAATGCTGCTAAACAGTCAGAGCACTTGTGGTCCTTTGCAAAGGGAAAGGGCTCCCTCTTACTCTGCAGCACATGGGGAGTTAATAATACCTGCCTCTCTGGAGGATGTTACCAGTGCTGGCACAGCAAGAGCAGTGAATGTACGTAAATTTCCTGCACTTCCTGTCTAGAGTGGAAGGGCTTGAGTGTAGTGGAGCAGAGTAAGTCCTGAAAAAGGAAGATCATTATTTATCTGAACTTTTTTCAAATTTTTTATAGATATGCTAAAACCTGGCATGTCTATAACTACATGAATTCTAGATTTTGCTGCAGCAGTTCTCTTTTCTAAAATTAGTTTCATTTCGGTTTTACTTTGATAGGGAAGTAAGATCAAAGCAAATAGTCCTTGAAATTAACCCAAGAAAGGGTATTGTTGTTCTCTGGTATGAGGCAGCACATTTCAGCTTTGTGACCTGTTTGATGTAGGAACTTCTGACGCAGTTGGATGTTTCCTTAGCAATCATTTGTTTACAGCTGTAACTGAAGTACTGAAAGAATGCATATGAGCTATTTCCTCTTGAATAAATCATTGGAAATCCCATCTTCCTTTTACTCAGGAGGTCAATCTCTTCAGGTTCCTGTCTCTCTGACTCCTGTTAACCTAACACCAGCCTTTAACTCATACTCAGCTTGGGCACTTATGGTGATACCATTCCACACATGAGGGTAGTGTTTGGACCTAATCCCTCCCATGACCTCTGCAAACAATGTACAAGCATCCATGCTCTTGCAAACAGCAGCCTCTGTCCCTGTTAAGGGAAGGGTAGGGTATGTCACTCCATACCTTGCTTAACCAGGATCATCTTCTATGAAATGACACCCATAGAAAATTGGCTGAAAAGTTGATTGAGTTGGTTTTTAACTACCTTAGAAGACCCACCACTGTCTTTTAGTGTACAGTGACCCTTGTATGAAAGAAGAAGTCTTTATGAACCCAAAGAACAACCCAAGTTCAGATTTAGTAGTGTATATCTTTTTTCAGGGGAATAGATAGAGTAGGGTGTCTGGTTGCTTCATTACAGCCTGTTGCCAGAGCTGAGGTTCAGATAAGCCTCTCTGTCAGGGAGCCTTGATTCCACCATTTCTCTTTTTACACCTATGACAATTTATGTCCCAAAAGAAAACTAGCTTCTAACTCAGCTTGCCCTATATTTTACCATAAAAGTTGCTTTCTGGCAAATGCAGAACAAGTTTTACAACATGCCTTAAAGATATTAGAGTTCCCAGTGTCAAACTGGTAACCCTTCTCAAATTTGCTTTCTGGGTAATGCAGAACAAGTTTTACCACATACCTTAAAGACACTGAGTTCCCAGTGTCAAACTGGTAACCCTTTTGAAATTTTTTAAATGCCTTGAGACTCTTCTCACCAACCTATAAACTCGAGATTTGACTGACCACCTACTACTTACATGTATGTT